CCCTGAGTCTTACTTTTCTCTTTTGTAAAATGATGATAGTGATGGGGCCTGCCTTAGAGGAGCTCTGGGCAGCCCTCCAAGGTGACTTGGGGCTGAGCATCGCCCCTTGCTGCACCTCAGCCCCGGTGTCACTCCCAGGCTGTTCAGCTGGGCGCTGCTGCGGTTTCTGAACTGCGTATTCCTGAATGTGCAGCTCCACAAGGGTCAGATGAAGATGGTCCACAAGGCTGCCCAGGCGGTAAGGCCTGCCCTCCTTTGGGATGGGGATGGCAGGAGCAGAGAAGCAGAGGAGCAGAGGCTGGGCCAAGCCCTTAAGTCAGGAGTAGTCCCCATCTGGTCCTGCTTCCTGGCCTCTCTGCTCCCAGCCATACAGCAGTGCAGTCCCCATCAGCTGGTGGGAAAAATCCACTGCTCTTTGCCGACCTTCCCTTTGTGTCTCACGGTCCTGCTCCCACGGGGCTTCCTCTAATGTCTTTTCATCATGGTCTTAACAACCATTAAGTCGGTGCGTCAGTGCAGTTACCTTAGAAGTTTTGGAAAGGCTCCTTTGCTTTTGGGAAATGTGCTCAGATGAAGAACTCTTCAGCTGAGCCCTCCCTCCCTCCGGGGGTGCCCTGGGTTTTTGGTTGCTTGTGTCTTGTGTCCTCAGAGTGGGGCAGGCTGGCACTTCCCTCTGGCTCTTCCCGGAGCAGGGCTCACCGCTTGTCCTCCTCTCTACTCACAAAACCCTCCTGGATGGGATCCTGCTGCCCTTTGTGCTGCTCTCCCAGGGCCTGGGTGTGCTCCGTGTGGCCTGGGACTCCCGTGTCTGCTCCCCTGCCCTCAGGTAAAAACCTTGTGTCTGTAGACACACATGGGAGAAGTTGCAGGCTGGGGTCGGGTGTGTATTGGGGTGTGTTGGCGGCAGCTCCCTGCCAAAGGCCTTCTTCCTGGCTTCTCTGTTCCCAGCCACACAGCAGTCTAGCCTGTGGGGCTTAGATGGAGGGGTCAGCCACAGGCCCTAGGGCCATGGCTTCGCCTCAGTGTATTCAAGTAGGACACAGTCTATTCCTGAGGGAGCTGAGACTCTTGCTATCCCTTTATTCATTCTCATCTTCAGAGCCCCTTGCCTCATCAGGCTCTGCCCTATGTCCCACAGAACTCTGCTGAGGAAGCTTGGGGGGCTTTTCCTGCCCTCAGAGGCCAGCCTCTCCCTGGACAGCTCTGAGGGGCTCCTTGCAAGGGCTGTGGTCCAGGCGGTGAGTGTCCCCACGGTTATGTATGGGCCAGGCTAAGGGGACAGGGGTCTGCTTCTGCACTGGCCTTAACACCTCTTCTGTCCCTTCCTATTCCAGGTCACAGAGCAGCTGCTGGTCAGTGGGCAGCCCCTGCTCATCTTCCTGGAGGAACCTCCTGGGGCCCTGGGGCCACGGCTGTCAGCCCTGGGCCAGGCTTGGCTGGGATTTGTGGTAAGGGCAGTCCAGGCGGGCATCATCCCAGATGCTCTGCTGGTACCAGTGGCTGTCACCTATGACGTGGTTCCGGATGCACCATGTGACATATACCATGTGAGAATCATGTGAGACCCTCCAGCCCCTTGGGCAGAGGCTGATAAGGCAAGGGGCCCCTAGGTGGACACCAGCTCCAGACAGAAGGCACAATATTGTGTCCTGTGGCTGAGTCCCTCTTAGAGCTTCGGGGGCTTCAAAGGACAGGTCCTTGAACTGTCCTATCTCTCTGGGTCAGCCAGTTTCCAGGGTCCTTCATTCCAAGCGAGGGTCTGCACCTGAGCTGACCTCCTTCTGTGGGACCTCGGGGCCATCTGAAGAAAATGCAAGTCATCCTTGCAGCACCTGCCAGGGCCCTTACCATCTTCTCATTTCATCCTCTGAAGACCTTGATAGGGAGGGATTTTCCCTGTTTGATGAAGAAAAGAGGAACTTGGGGAGGGCAAGGTCATGCACCAGTACAGCCTGAGATAAAACTGAGCAGGCTGGGACCTGAGGATACCCCTGGAGAGCAGGATGGGGTGGGAAGCCCTGATGTCCACCTGAGAGCAGTGCTTCCGGTGAGGCTGTACAGTTATCCTCTCCCTCCTTGCAGACTTCAGCCCCCCTTGGGCTGTGGACAGGAGCTCTGGCTGTCCTGCGGAGCCTCTGCAGCCACTTGAGCAGCAGCCGTCAGATCTGCTCTCGGGTGCACCTAGCTCAGCCCTTCTCCCTGCAGGTATGGAGCCAGCTGGGGAAGGCTGGGAGTACCTGCAGGTCTGTCCTGGGCCTCCTGGCAGCCTGGCCCTCAAAACTACTGCAGGGATAGCCTTGCCTACTTCCAGTGGGCGGTCAGCAAGTTTCCTGGTTGGCCAGAGCAGGTCACTTAATAGCCTTGTCCTGGGCAGGAATACACCATCAGTGCCAGGAGCTGCTGGGGCAGCAGGCAGACCCTGGAGCAGCTGCTGCAGCCCATCGTGCTGGGCCAATGGTAGGGGCAAGGGAGCGTACGGCCTCAGGGGCAAGGCAGGCAGCCCGTCAGCATCAGCTCATGTATCCTCCGTAGACACAAACACACTAGCAGCCCTCCCTCACCAAATATCCTGGGGTGGTCTAGGATAGTTCCAGGCACTCGCCTTGCTAACAGTCTGAGTGTGGGATACGGCACAGAGGCCTGGAAGGGGCTGGGGTTTATAAATGCTATCTTCTGCCCTGGGACTGGGATGGGGGATACACCCTCACCTTTCAGAAAGCCCTGGGCTTCCTCACAACTGTTTTTAGATTGGTGCCTTCATTTTGTGATCTCTGTCTCTGTCCCAGTACTGCTGTCCCAGACACTGAGAAGGAACAGGAGTGGACCCCTATAACTGGGCCCCTCCTGGCCCTTAAGGAAGAGGACCAGCTCCTGGTCAGGAGACTGAGCCATCACGTCCTGAGTGGTGAGGGTGAACCAGATCTGGGCCTTTGGGGGTGGGTCCTTGAACTGTCCTATCTCTCTGGGTCAGCCAGTTTCCAGGGTCCTTCATTCCAAGTGAGGGTCTGCACCTGAGCTGCCCTCCTTCTGTGGGACCTCGGGGCCATCTGAAGAAAATGGAACCCTCCTCCTGCAGGAGGAGCAGGGCAGCCAGGGCCGGTATGAGGGAGCAGTTAATTGCATGGACACAGACGATGGCCTGAGCACAGGAGGCCGCAGCTGCTTCCCAAGGCCACACCCAGCCCTGCCTTCTGAGTAGAGTCTCCCTGGCTGTGGATGGGGATGGTGTTGACTGAATGGAATGATACCGTGTAAGGGGCTTAGCACAGCGCCTGTGCAGAGGGCCCTTATAGGGAGATGCATCAGTATCTTCTCTAGTGCCCCTGTGTGGTGGAGGCTGTGGGTTGGTGTGTGGGCCCCGTGATGGGACCCAGGGAAGAGCCCCCAGGTCCTGGCCTGGCTCTCTGCCTCTGTGTGATAAATTAACTGCTCTGGGCATATGTTGCCCCTCCCTGGGGTGGAGTGGGGATGTCTGATAATGGAGGGACCAGGCTGCTGGGCCTCAATGCCTGACCAGCATCTCCACCTGCTGTCCTGCCTCACCCCACCCCAGCCAGTGTGGCGAGCTCTGCCGTGATGAGCACAGCCATCATGGCGACGCTGCTGCTCTTCAAGCACCAGAAGGTAGGGGGTGCAATATGGTGGGGACCTCAGTGGGCGGGGTGTGGCCCTCCTGCTCAGCCCTGCTCTACCCACCCAGGGCGTGTTCCTGTCGCAGCTCCTGGGGGAGTTCTCCTGGCTGACGGAGGAGATACTGTTGCGTGGCTTTGATGTAGGCTTCTCTGGTCAGCTGCGGAGCCTGCTGCAGCACACACTGAGTCTGCTGCGGGCACACGTGGCCTTGCTACGCATCCGCCAGGAGGACTTGCTAGTGGTGCCGCGGCCCGGCCCAAGCCTCGCGCACCTGGCACGGCTGAGTGCCGAGCTGCTGCCCGTCTTCCTGAGTGAGGCTGTGGGCGGTGAGTCTTGAGGGGTAGGTGGGATGTGTGCGCAGGTGTTAAGGGAACAGCTCCTTCCTCATAATGGTCCCTCCTTCCCCAGCCTGTGCGGTGCGGGGGCTGCTGGTAGGCAGAGTGCCGCCCCAGGGGCCCTGGGAGCTGCAGGGCATAGAGCTGCTGAGCCAGAACGAGCTGTACCGCCAGATCCTGCTGCTGATGCACCTGCTGCCGCAAGAGCTGCTGCTGCTGCAGGTCAGGCCTCCCCCATGGCCCACTTGGTCCTAGGCCTTCCTCTCTTAGTGGTAGGAATGGCCATCCCTGCCCAAGCACCACCTCTGAAGTCTCTTGGGTGGGTCTGGCCTTGCCCTGCCATTGGCTCGGCCCCTGCCCATGTGCCCAGGCTCGCCTGAGGCCACATGGGTCCCTTTTTCTCCCTAGCCCTGTCAGTCTTCCTACTGTTACTGTCAGGAGGTGCTGGACCGGCTCATCCAATGTGGGCTCCTGGTTGCTGAGGAGGTAGGCAGGGCCATTGGAGACAAGACCCGTGCCTGGGGCCTGGCCTCTTCCAGCCTCCCACCCTGAGTGCCAGCTGCCACAGACTCCTCCTCTGCCCTATGTGTGCTGTGGGGGTGGGAAGCCCCTGGCCTTGCAGTGGGGAAGCCTAGCTCGCACTGCACCTCTGCACCCTGGGCCTTGGGATATGGCCACCTATGCCCTGAGTCTGTGTACGTCTCTCTGGACAGCACTGGCATGTGTGCCTCTGAACTCCTCTGCACACCTCCTGTTCCACAAGTTTCTTGGCCACAGGGCTGCTGCCATTGAGGGTGGGTGTGCACTTCTTCTGACTCTGCAAGTTGGCCCAGCAGGTGCTGTGTGGCATGGCTCTGGGCATCCTCTTGGGCACTCCAGATCTGGTTTTACTGGATTCACCTGCATGTACCTGGTCTGGGGGTGTAGGGTTGATCCCTGGCCAGCTTGTCAGAGAACAATGGTTCCATGGCCCTCAGACCCCAGGCTCCCGAGCAGCCTGTGATACAGGGCGACAGCGAATGAGCCGAAAGCTGCTGTGGAAACCAAGTGGGGACTTTACTGATAGTGACAGTGATGACTTCGAAGAGGCCGAGGGCCGGTACTTCAGGGTGTGTTGGGAGAAGCTATCCCTGGAGGGAGGTGGTAGGGAGGCTGTGGGGAGCTGCACTCATCCCGACCTGTCCTCTCCAGCTTAGCCAGCAGTTGCGCTGCCCAGATTTCTTTCTTTTCCTCTGCCGCCTGCTCAGCCCAGTGCTCAAGGCTTTTGCACAGGCTGCCGCCTTCCTCCGTCAGGGCCAGCTGCCAGATACTGGTAAGGCCCTTCTTCCCCTGCAATCCTCAAGGCAGGCTCTTGTCTGTGCGGGGCCCCAGATCTAGGTCTCTCTTCTGCAGAGTCTGGCTACACAAAGCAGCTGTTTCAGTTCCTCCAGGCCACCGCCCAGGAAGAAGGGATCTTTGGTGAGTCCCAAGGAGTCAGCCAAGGCTCCTGGAGGCAGGGGTGTGTTTGCTGGTGGCTGCTGCCCCCTGCCGGACAGTGACAGCCCACTCTAGGAATGATGGCTGCGGAGTACCACGGGTCTTCTGTCGAGTCTGAGCTCTATCCCTCCCTAGGCTCCTTCTTTATACAAAAGGAGAGGAGCCTGTGCCCAGTGGCTCCCTGTCCTCCCGACCTAGAGCCTTCACTTCTGTCTTCTTTCCAGAGTGTGTGGACCCAAAGCTCGCCATCAGTGCTATCTGGACCTTCAGAGACCTAGGGGTAAGAGGAACCAATGTCACCATCTTCCTGTCCTCCTGTTCCCACCCCAATAGAGCTGCTCAAGAAAACCCAGCTATGTTTCCATCACCCCACAGGGCTGGCCTGATGGTGCCTCATTAAGACCCTGGGGTTTACCTGGTGTCTGCCAGCAACAGGTGGTGATGGGTTGGAGAAGGTGGGATGGCTTTCCTGCCTCTTGGTCTCCCAAATCACTGACTCATCCTTCTAGGTGGGGTATTGGGGCTGCTTTGAGGCAGCATTTGCACTTAAACAGAGGCCTAAGGGGCCAGAAGTCTCAAGACAGGTTTCTGGGGGACAGGCCTGGCCCCTGGGCCCTATGGACACAACCCCTGTGGTGAGGGCACTCACGGCCCATCTTCCATGGCCCAGGTTCTGCAGCAGATGCCGAGCCCTGCAGGCCCCAGGCTCCACCTGTCTTCTACTTTTGCCAGCCGGGACAATCAGGAAAAACTAGAACAGTTCATCCGGCAGTTCATTTGTAGCTAAACTGTGAGGTGGAGCCTGTGCTGAAACTTCTCAGCTCCAGAACACAGCTGTGTCCTAGAGCCAGAAGACAAGACGGGAGGCTGCAAACTCTTAGCTGGTCTATAAAACCATTGAGGCTTGGTTGTCCCTTGCCATTTCTTGTTTTCTCCCTCCTTTGATATAATAAACAAGAAGACTGGTCGTGTTGTCTTTTCCCAAGCCCAGCAGTATCTTTTTGGCATACATGTATGTGTGTATTTGCCTTCTTCCCCAGTCCCACAGTGCCCCCACTTGTCCCATGAAACAAAGCCCAAAAGAAGACAAACAGTAGCAGAAGCCAAGCTGCTGCTTTGGCCCGACGAGTTTATTGAAGAGAGTTTTCTTTCTCCCTTCTACCTAGAAGAAGAGGCTTGCAGGGCTGGCCCCTGCGCACACCTGGCATTGGGCCTTTCCCTGGGCTAGGCTAGTGGGAGCAGATGCCCCCCTCCTATGTCGAGGGCCTGAGCAGGAGCCATCACACCACCTTGTTGATGATGACACCTAGTTCTTCAATCTCACACTGGACTTCATCCCCCTTCTGCAACAGAGCAGGAGGCCGTGAAGGTGTCAGCCCTTCTGTCAGACACACATACATACATGCCAGCCTGTACTTCTCCAATCTGAGCCAACCCTGCCAGGCCTTTGGGGCCTTTCCTCTCTTTCCTTTTCGCTAACCTACCTTGAGAAAGACAGGAGGTTTCCTGAATACACCGACACCTGGGGGGGTCCCAGTCAGGATGACATCCCCTGGGTAAAAGGTGACAAACCTGGAGAAAAGCAACAGGACCCAGTGAAACCAGGGCTGACTGAGCTGGCCATGGCCAAGGGTGGAGGGCTCGCATCAGCCTCCACATGTGTGGCAGGTGAAGCGGCGCCGGCAGGACAGGCCCTGTCACTCACTGGGAGACCCACGCTATCAGCTCCTCTGTCTTGAACACCATCTGGTTGGTGTTGCTGCTCTGGACCACTTCCCCATTCACTCGGCAGCAGATCTTTAAGTTGTGTGGATCTGAAATGCAAAAATGGTACCTCGGAGTTATCCCTTTTCCCCCCTCAGCTCCCTATTTCATAAACACAACTGTAGGGGGACTTCATGACTTTCCAGGTGACAAAAAGGCTTTGTGCCTACACTGACTCAGTGCTCTACGTTAGAACTCTCTATATAGACATTGGCCTTCTCAGGCCTCCCTGTATCCCCACCAAGAGCACCAGGCAGTAGTCACTTGGATGAGTTGAGAGGCTGTTCCAGACTGAAGGGGGAGAAAAAAATGCCTAGGCTTTTTGTCTTGGAAAAAAAAAAAAAGGGCATCTGTCTACAGTATAGGATGACACTTGTAGATACAAAGATGACTTGGCAGGGCCAAGTGTAGTGGCTCATGCCTGTCATCACAGCACTTTAGGAGGCCAGGGCAGGCGAGGATTGATTAAGCTAAGGAGTTCAAAACCAGCCTTGGGAATGTAGTGAAATAATAAAAACAGCCAGGCGTGGTGGTGCATGCCTGTAGTCCCAACTACTCAGGAGGGTGAGGTGGGAAGATCGCTCGAAGCCCAGGAGGTTGAGGCTTCAGTGAGCTGAGATTGTGCCGTTGCACTCCAGCCTGGGTGACACAGAGACCCTACCTCAAAAACAAAACAAAACAAAAAGCCTCAACATTGATAGAGCAGTGAGGTAATGGCGCAAGCAGGGAGTGAAGCCTCGTGTACTGGAAGCTGGCGGGGGATGGATTACCGTGAGAGCATCCTGGCTAACCAGCACTTTTAACTGTTTTGCTGGTGGTCTTTGTGTTCTATCCCCTTAAGTAGAGCATCTGAAACACAACTTAACTTTGCCAAGGACTCTGCACGGGGTGCTTTGAGGCACTGGGGTTTTCAGCATCCTGGCAAGGCTGCCCCTCATGGACACCCCCCACCTTCACCACTGGTTGTGGGTGGCTGTGCGTTAGAGGCTACGCTCTGCTCTCTGGGCCACTGCCTCTGTCCTGGCACGCTCTCCTCACTGTGTGTGGTCAGTGCTGTTGTTTCCACAGTGGCTGGCTGAGTCCTACTGGCTCTCATCTCCTGTACTGCGGAAAATGCCTGGGCCTTGCGATAGTTGTGCTCCATGATGCTCAACTTAAAGGTTGTTCCAGATAGTGGCAGCCACAGGAAGCCTGATCCACCCATTAGCTCAGAGTTCTTTGTAATTTACTTCATGCATGGTTTCATATCCTCTGCAGTCGAGTTTCCCTCTAGGGGGCTTGGGAAGGAAGCCCATGGGAGAACTCATGGCTGAGGATAAGAGACTTGCCCTGTATGGAGTCAGCAGTGAAAAGGCAGCCAGGGAGGGCAGGTGCACAAGTACTGAACCCACACTCCTCCCTGGAGTGCTGTTCATCTGTGCAGTGGTAGGCACAAGGGGGCAAGGACCAGGGACCTACCTGCTACACTGTCCTTGGTCACCAAGGCAGGGCCCAGAGGGCAGAAGGTGTCGAAGGTTTTTCCCAGCAGCCACTGTTTCCCATTGCGTCTTGTTAGCCAGTCACGAGCACTCACGTCATGAGCCACAGTGAAGCCAGCCACATGGGCCATGGCATCTGTGGCCTATGGGGGCAGGGGATTTGGCCATACAGGAGGTGAGATCACAGGTGACACCAACCCCTATAGCAAAGGATCTCAAAGCTGTTATCCCATGTTAGTAGCCAGAGCCAGCCAAAGGTGGGTGAAGGGCAAGGCAGCGTCAGGAGCAAGGAAGCTGACCGCTTCCTAGTGTCAGGGACAGCTGGCACTCGTGTGTTGGTGAGTGAGGTCAGCACTAGGAGAGGCAGGAGCTGGGGCTGGCCTGGGAGCCCACCCTTTCCACCTCACCTTGATGTGCTTGCCTTTCTTTCCAATGACCACGGCCAGCTCCACTTCCCAGTCTACCTCCTGTAGGGTGGGAGAGAAGCAGTGAACCGCAGTGGCCCCTGGGCCCATTATTTATGCTGAGAGGCTGCACACCGTGGATCTCTGTCAGTATGGCTTGGCTGCCAGCCCATGTTTGCCATCACCAGGAACCAGAGCCATGTGAATGACAAGGGAGGTGTGACTTATAGACCCATACATTCATTTTGGGCAGTGGCAGGCAGCGTCATGGGACGTAGGCACAGGTCCCCACCCCACTGTGACTGCAGAATAGCAACACGTGTGTCCAGGGGTCTGAGTTTAAGTCACTCTGGATACCTGCAACAAAGGATAAATATGAAGTAATACCACCTACCAATATGTCACTGCACTGTGTGTCAGGCACTACTCTAAGTGCTTTAATGTATTAACTCACTTTAGTGAGAAAAAGATTGACATTCCATAAAGGCCTTGAATAAACAACAAAAAGGAAAGGCACATGGCCACAAAACATGAAAAATGCTCAGCCTCTCCCATAGTTCATAAAGTACAACTACAAAATAGATATAATTTGGCTTTTAAAATTGGCATCTCTTTCTAATAATAAGCAGAGTTGATATATGTATCTGACATCCAGATGTTGGTCTCTAATACCATGCCCTATTAAGAAGCACCGAGTTCCTGGGAAACAGCTAATTTCAGGTACAAGACAGACAGTACATGATGAGACTGGAACATCTTAGCCAGAAAGCAAGGATATATTAAAAGTGCTGGGGATGGAATCAACTAATGGCCCCTCACCAGCCAAACTGAGGTCATTTAAAGAATGTAAATGATGAATTTCAAACAACTGAGTAAAAACAAAAATCATGAATTCACAGTGATACTGAAGACACAGAAATGAAATGGAGGGAGGCAGCTTTTCTGCATAGAAGAATGCCAGCCAATAAAACAGAAGGCATGATTTAGAAAAAGTCATTGTTCTTCTGGGCCTGGTGCAGTGGCTCATACATGTCATCCCAGCATGTTGGGAGGCCGAGGTGGGTGGATCACCTGAGGTCAGGAGTTCAAGACCAGCCTGGCCAACATGGTGAAACCCTGTCTCTACTAAAAATAAAAAAAAATTAGCCAGGTATGGTGGTACATGCCTGTAATCCCAGCTACTTGGAAGGCTGAGGCAGGAAAATCACTTGAACCCAGGAAGCGGAGGTTGCAGTGAGCGCAGATCATGCCACTGTACTCCAACTTGTGCAACAGAGCGAGACTCCATCTCAGAAAAAACAACAAAAAGGTCATTGTTCTCTAACCCTCAGCACAATAATAGATTCAGTAAGGATGACCACAGGATCCCTGGATGAGAAGCTATGGGGCAATAAGATAGTTACGTGATCTCAAACTACCACCCACAGATTGCTTATTAATTACAAAAATGGAAATGCATCTTCACAATGGAGAGATCCTAGTGAATGTCAGGTAAACCAAGTGGTCAAATTCTGGGATGACTGACATGAGCTTCCCAGTGGAATGCAACGGGAAATGTACATCTCTGTAGACCTCTTGATAAAATGCTTACCCAGACACTAATCATGAAGGAACAACCAAAGAAACCCAGGGCGTGAAACATGCTATGAGACAACTGGACTCTTCAAGGAAAGGGCAGGGGGGATTGTTTGAAATCAGGAGTTGGCAAACTATTGCCAGTTCACCGTCTGCTATAATGAAGTTTGACTGGAACACCACCATTCATTTCTGTATCATCCCTGGTGGTTTTCACACTGCAAGAGCAGAACTGAAATGTTGCAAAACAGACCATATGACACTCAAAGACTAATATTTACTAATTGGCCCTTAATATGGTTTAGCTCTGTTTCCCCACCCAAATCTCATCTTGTAGCTCCAATAATTGCAACATGTTGTGGGAGGGACCCGGTGGGGGATGAATGAATCCTGGGAGCAGGTTTTTCCCATGCAGTTCTCGTGGTAGTGAATGTGAATCTCAAGGGATCTGATGGTTTTAAAAAACGGGAGTTTCTCTGCACAAGCTCTTTTTTGCCTGCTGCCATCCACCTAAGATGTGACTTGCCCCTCCTTGCCTTCTACCATGATTGTGAGGCTTCCCCAGTCACATAGAACTGTAAGTCCAATTAAACCTCTTTCTTTATGAATCATCTAGTGTCAGATATGTGTTTATCAGCAGTGTGAAAACAGACTAATACAGCCCTTTAAAAAAACAGTCTATAGAACCCTGTTCTATATTGAAACCACTACAAATATACAACTGAATATAGTGTGTGGCTTGGCTGATCAGCGAGCAATAAAGTAACCAAATGAAAAGTCACCTTTGGGGCAGTCAGCAGTAGTTCCGATTGGGAATTGGGACAATATGATTTCATATTAAATATTATTCAAGTTAATCTTCTTGGTTATGATAATGGTGATAATGGTCATGAAAACTGTTGTCCTTATTCTTAGAAGATGGCTATTTAAGTTTCTATAACTAAATTGTCTTAATATTTGGAATGTGTTTTAAAAGGTCCCCTCCACTCTACCCCCTGCAAAAAAGAAAAAAAAGTATGTGTTTGCATCTGGAGGACAGGGAGAAGGCAACGGAGAGGAAGCAAATATGGCAAAATGTTTACAGTGAAACCAGGTGAAAAGTGTATGAGTGTTCACTGTATTATCTTTTCAGCTTTCCTATAATTTCCAAGACATTTCTAAAATAAAAATTTGAGAGAAAAAGTAACCAGTGTTAGTAAGTGCATGTACTACTGATGGATATGTAAGTTGCTTTTACAATTTCTTTAAAGGCCAATTAACAGATTTCCTCAAAAGTTTTGAAACATTGCCTATAGTTTGTCATATTCAAATTCTAAGTGTTTATTCAAAGGAAATAATAATGTTTTAATGGACACGCAAAGTCTTTTCTACATAAGGATGTTCACTGTAACTATTTATAGAAGACAAAAACTGGATACAACTATCCAGCTGTAAGGTACTTGGGAATATAAACTACCCTGTACAACAGAAAACTTCACAGTAATCTAAAACACGTCAGGGAGAGTATTTAATGACATGAAAAAATGCCCCAGATGGAGTCTTAAGTTAAAGGTAAGTATATGTACAGTATAAATATATACAGGAGTGGAGAAACACTGGGAAGATAGATAGCAAAACATTAATATTGCCCTGGCAGTGGGTATACACATGACATAATTTTTAAATGTTTATCTCTATTTTATTAATTTTCTACAATGCAGGTGTATTGCTTTTGTAATTGGGAAAACATGTACATTAACTTTATTTCCAAGGCCAGTGTTATTACTGTGTATAATCGCCTAGAGTTTCTGTTGAATGCATTATTGAGTGAGGGGTGGCTCCAGTAGGCTGAATACTGAGCTCAGAACGCCCTTCTGGTGGGACCAGTGACTAGGGAGAGCAGTGGGGAGGCACTGACCTGGCTCTCTGGTGGGAGGACCACCTCATCATAGGGCCCCACGATGGAGCTGGCAAACTTGCTGAAGATGATGGGCTCCTTGGGCACAGGCATGTTCAGTTCTTTGCAGTGGTCCACATAATTCATGCCCACACACACCACCTTATCTGGCCGCGTGACCGGAGCCAGGAAGGTAACCTCCGACCGTGGTAGGACTGGCAACTGGGCAGCCAAGGCTCTGTAGAGACCAGAGCAAGTGAGACGGTCTGGCTGGGAACAGGTTGCAAATCCCGGGCAGGCTGGGCAGATCCTGCAGCAGCTACAGGTTTTGCTTTTTGAAATGATTTCCTAGCTCTATCAACCATCAGAGTCAGTGTGAAAATCAAGCCCAGCTATTGTCCTTTGATATCAGAGCATGGGCTGTTATTTATCCAGTGTTGATTTCCTCTTCCCTTTAGGTAACTCATGTCCATGTAAGATAATTCAAAAGATACAAATTGGAATACATGGAGAGGTTTCCCTTTCTGGTTACCCCATTCCCCTGGCTCTTCACTGCTACTCTATAGATATTCTTCTCACACCCTTTTGTATGGAAATGATAGCACACTAGACCTTTTAAAAAACAACTGATTTTGGAGATCTCTCCTTAACAATATGTAACAATACATAGAGAGCTTCCTCTATTTTTCTTGTGGCTACATATTACTGCTTTATAGAGATATACCCAAGTCCCTAATGAAGGGCATGGAGGTTGTTTCCAATCTTTGCAGAATATGGCAATATGGGAACAAACAGTTAATGATACTGTGGGCTGGGAAATATTTGTATTTTTTCCCATTTTAATAGATGAAAATGACATCTTTAAAGTGTTTTTAATTTATTGTTCATCAACTCCTTAGACCAGATTCTACAGGGCTCCAGGCTTCAGGGACACTCTCACCTAATCTAGTCCAAACCCAGGAACGATTGTATTGTAGAAAACCTCTTTGCAGTCCTCTCTCCTTGCAGGATCCAGGAGTCTAAATCACTCCCCTAGCTGCGTAAGATGCCTTTTAGGACCCCTAGTCCCAGACCTGTCAGTCAAGGACTCCACTCCCAGAGGAGGCAATATGATGAAGTATAGAGTCCTGGTTCCAGCACCAAATGTATGGCCTTGGGATGGTTAATTACCTCTCCTAGGTCTCAGTTTTCCCCTCTGAAAATTGAAGATGTTGTTATATAAGATTTCTAGGCATCTTTAAAGAGAACAGGTGGGAAAGGAAAGTGGGGTTACTCTGATCACTTGCAAAAGAGCTACTTGTTGGTGCCGTTTCCCAGAGCAGGGATGAGGTGGGAGGGTGCAGGGGCACCAGGGCAGCTGCTTCAGGGCTATGCTGCCCACTTACTTACCTTCTTGCCACTGACAGGGTGGCTTCTCCCTGCTCGAGGAACTGTGTCATCATCCTGGGGATTGTGGGGTCAAAGGCATTGAGGCTGATAACTCCTCCACCATTCCCTGTTTCCAGGCCCAAATGAGGCCCCACCAGGTGGGGTGTCTGGAACTGCACTAGTCTCATGTCTCTGGATGGTTGAAAGGGCCACTTCTGAGCCTGCAGCAGACCTGAGAGCAACCTTCTTCTACCAGAGACCAGCATCAGAGCCTGCAAAGAAAAAAGCGGAATCCATGAGATGGAGGATCCCAGCGCCATCATCAGGATCCCTGAAATGCCTAGGGCTACAGCCCAAGGCCCTCTGCCCCATCAACTGTTCCCTGCATACCACATGGGAAGTGGTCCGGGCTTGTATTTTACCCTGCTGTACTTTATAAGGTGAAACTTTTCTAGAGGAGCAACTACTATGTGATAGGCACTAAGTCCCAGGGATTCCAGAGTTCCTTCAACCAGTGCTTTCTGAAAGTTCCCACTGTGCTTGGCTCTGCTGCAGGCATTGGGGAAACAATGTAGCTCAAACTCAGCCCTGCCATTCTCCCTGCAGAGGTCACAGACGTTAACAACTGACCTAAGATTCAGCTATCAGGACTAGTGCTGTGAAGATGATCAGGGGCCCCTACTCTTGTCTAGTTTCTTCAGGAAGTGATATGAGCTGAACTGGGCTGAATGAGCAGGACCAGGAATTAGCTGAGTGGCAGTACAGCATGGGCAAGTGGCCGCTGGTGAAACTGGCTTCATAGCGGCCATAAGCAATTTTTAAAATGCTAATTTATTCCTGTTAACCTCCTACTTAAAACGGTTTCCACTGGCCACATGATCAAGCTAGATCCAGTCTTCTAGGAGCAGCACCCCACCTGCCTCTCCAGATAATAATTCTTTCTTTTCTCCCGATAGAGAACAAGTTGCCTGAGGGAAGAGGCTGCAGACCAATAGCAAGGTCTGGGTCTGACAGGCATCACTTGGTCGTCCCCTCCCTGGGTTCAGGGACCATGTCTGTCTCTTTCACTGCCTAGCACTGTGCCTGCTGCACACAAGGCTCTCAGTGACTTTCTGCTGAATGAATAAATGACAGAAGCAGGGCCTTGACTTTTCACTACTTGGGAAAGCTTAGTGCTTGTTAACTTCAGGAAACATGGCTGTGCCTTTCCTCCTCAAATCACCAGAAAGTATCCACAAGGGCCGGGCACGGTGGCTCACACCTATAATCTGCAGCACTTTGGGAGACTAAGGTGAGTGGATCACTTGAGGTCAGGAGGTCAAGATCAGCCTGGCCAACATAGTGAAACCTCATCTCCACTAAAAATACAAAAAATTGGCTGGGATGTGGTGACTGGCGCCTGTAATCCCAGCGACTAGGGAGGCTGAGACATGAGAATCACTTGAACCCAGGTGGCAGAGGTTGCAGTGAGCTGAGATCATGCCATGGCACTCCAGCCTGGGTGACAGAGCGAGACTCTATCTCAAAAATAAAAAATAAAAAAATCCACAGGGCTCAGGTCCTGTTTTGAGTCCGAGTCTCCACTTAAAGACAAACATTATTTTTTGTTTTGTTCTGAATCCAAGTCTGGCCTCTATTTCTTACCACATGGTAGCTTCCCTAAATGGTTCCTTGCTCTTTCAGCAAAGGTTAGTTGTATAGCCTTTTATGCCCCAAAATGTGGAGGCAGCTGAGCGCCAACCTCTTGGTCCTCACCTGGATGATTCAATCTGCCTTGTTCACTTAAAGACTCCTTAGACTTAGGTCACCACTGTTGTGGCCCGCCAATCTGATCAGAAAACCGAGGGCTTTGAGTTCCCCGCCCTGCTGTCTTACACAAGCACCAACTGTGCCACTGTCAAAAGGCTGTTTGAGCCAAACTGCACATGCTGAGACACTCCACACTCCAAAATAATGGTAACTGCTGCCGCTGAATGCCAACTATTAAGTGCTCTACCTACAATGTCTGATTTAATTCTTGACAATTGTGGAAGGTTAGCCCCATGTTATAGATGAAAAAATTAAAGCTTAGCAAGGTTAAGGGATTTGGCCAAGGTTGCACAGTCCTAGAGCTAGGAGGGGAAGGAGTTGGGATGTGAATCCAAGTCCAGGTGACATTGAAGTCCTTGGTGCAGAAGCTTGAAATGCAAGCAAGAAAATCTAACTTCAGCCCCCATTCCCCCACCAAGGACTTTGTCTTTTTATTTTTTTGAGACAAAGTCTCCCCCTGTCACCGAGCTGGAGCGCAGTGGCCGGATCTTGGCTGACCGCAACCTCTACCCCTCGGGTTAAAGGGATTCTCCTGCCTCAGCCTCTGGAATAGCTGGGATTACAAGCATGCACCACCACACCCAGCTAATTTTGTATTTTTAGTAGAGATGGGGTTTCACCATGTTGGCCAGGATGGTCTCCATCTCTTGACTTCGTGATCCACCCGCCTTGGCCTCCCAAAGTGCTGGGATTACAGGTGTATGACACCAGGCCCGGCCCCAAGGACATTTTAACCCAGAATGTTGTGGTGAGAAGTGGCGACCTTCCAGAGGAAATCCTTAAAAATTGTGGTGAGATGTAGGGACCGCCCATAGGAGATCCTCCAGAGGCCCTAAAGAAATGCTAACATCCATGCATGGGGAAACTACCGGCGCCCTCTGGCTGTTGCCTCAGGGACAAGGCTGGTTACCTGCTTTCCAAGAGAACCTTGGGCCACACTGACTGCGCCCTTCCCACAGGACACACATGCAGGTTCATTCCAACCTTACAGCAATCCCCTCAGGTAAAGCGCCCTCATCTTACGAAGGGGGCACTGACTCTCAAAGGGGCGAAGTGTCACGTGCCCAAGGTACCTGTCAGAAAGTGGCCCTGGGGCTTCTACAGCAACTACTATGTCATGCAGCCCGAGCTCAATCCAACTCTGCGAGAGTCCGTAAGCAAAGGGGCGGTGATCTGAGGTGGAAACAGCAGCCTCCATCTTCCAAAGCCTGAGACCGGGGTATGCGCGTCGGATCACAAACCACAGTCCACTCGCCTGGAACCCGCGCCAGTCCCCCAGTTTCCCTGTATGCCCAGCTCCGTCCCCGGCAGTTAGTGAGCGCGCACCCATGTCCGTGTGGTCGGAAGCGGCCGGGGACCGGGTTCCAGTTCCGCCCTCCGCGGGAGATCCGCGCCAGGGACACTCTTCTGGCCTGATCCAGCCAGGCCCGACCTACCTGCGCTACAGGGTTAGGGCTCGCGGGGCCGGAGGTCAAGGGCACCCGTGACCGCAGCCTGCCGGGGAACTGCAGCAGCGGTGAACCTTGAGCCGCTAGGCTGGCGTACCAGAGCGAGGCGCAGTCGCGCCCCTGTGACGTCACAGGCAACGGGCAATAGCGGCGCGCCAATTCCGGAGGGGCGGAGCCAACGCAGGTCAGGGCGTTTCCGGGAGGTCGTCAGGCTGTTGGCGCAGCTGGGCAGCAGGCGCTTTCTCCGGAGACGCTACCCCTCCGAGGGACCCTGCGCTTGCCCGAGCCGGAGAGTGGGCGCTGCCCGAAAGTTTTCCCTAAGCGCCTTGCTGGCCTCACCCAGTGTCGGCCCTGTTCTGGGCCTGGCGCCGTTGTCATTGCTCGGGAAAGTGGTGGAGGAGACCAAGGCAGCGTGCTGGGTGTCAGAGATCTGTGGCTGCTGATTGTGATATAGGTCGTTGAGGAGGGGAAGGATGACTGCCCTGTTTTACTTACGGGGAACTTGGGACCAGAGCTGTTTTCCCAGGGTGACACAGGCAGTGAGTAGTGGAGCTGGCATTGCTGACCCCAAAGCCCAGCGTTTCCCAGCCTCTCAGCAGCCCGGCCTTCAGCTGCGCTGCTGGGCGCAGGTGGGCAAGTGGGGAAACGAGGCTCCATCCCCGGCAGAGGGCAGGCACACAGGGAGCAGCTCCTGAACTCCACAGACAGCTGCAGCTAGCCCTTCAGCTGCTGGCTTTGAAGAGTGTGAGGGGCTCTGGGCAAGAGACCCCCACATTGCTCAAGGACCAGCTCATCAGGGGGTTTACTTGTCCCACGAAGGAGTCTGGATCTTGCTTAAGTGCACAGGAGACCGCTGGAAGGTCCTTACCGGCGTGCCATGGCCCGACTTGTATTTGAGAAGTTTTTCTCTGGCCACCCCTGTAAAGGAAGGAAGGGTGTCTGGGTGAGTGGTGCAGGTGAGAACAATGGTGGTGTGTGGCGGAGAGGGTGAGTGTCCAGAGATGTTCAGGAGGAAGAACTGACAGCTCTGGATGACAGCAGGTGGAAGTGGGAAGGATGTCCAAGGCCGACTCCTGGGGATCTCTAGGCGGGTAGGTGCAGGGCCATTCATGGAGACAGGGCTTCTGGAGGAGCAGCGGGTCTGGGGAGAGGATGGTGAGCTGTTTTGCATGGGACATCCAAAGAACATTGCATGGTGGGCACTTGGAGACATGGGTCAGGAGCTTGGGACTTCAGCCTGACTTGCAGAAGGAGGTCACCACAGATACAGAAATGGAACCTGTGGGGGTGGCTGTGACCAGGGGGATGCGCTGAGGAGAACCTGGCACAAGCGTTTCACTAAGCCATAGTGCCCAAAGACTTTCTGAAAAGATAAGTTACAGCCTGGAAGAAAATAATCTGCAAAGCATATATTTGATAAAAGACTCGTATCCAGAATATAGAAAGAACACTTAAAAGTCAATAGATAAAATCAAACAATTCAGTTTTTTAAATGGACAAAATATTTGAACAGACACTTCACCAAAGAAGACATACAGATAGAAAATTAGGACATGAAAAGATGCTCAGCATCATTAATCATTAAGGATATGCAAATTACAAGCACAATGTGACAGCATCTCACACCTACTAGAACGGACAAAGAAGACTGATTATACCAAGTATTGGCAAGAGCGTGGAGGACCTGGGACTTCTTGTGCGCTGCTGATGGGTTCATAAAATAGTACCACCGGGAGAGAGATCCAAGATGGCTGATCACTAGCAGCTCGGGATTGTAGCTCCCAGTGAAAACGCAAAGAACGAGAGGACGCCACACCTTCACATGAATTCTTGTTGCTCACGTACCAGGAGATTCCCAGCGGAGGAGCCCCACGGGTCGCCAGCGCGACTCTTGTGACCGGAGAGGCGGTTTTGCCGGTGTCTCAGAGCGTCGGTTCTCGGTGCAGAGTCAGAAAAGCACCATCCATCTTAACGCCACTGATTTAGTCAGTGCAGTGGGTTGCTCAGATTTTGGCGCTGAGAATCAATAAGTTGGACGTCCACTCAGAAACCCAATTACAAAGATGGTAATTATAAAGACCACAGATGGATAAATCTACAACGAAGGGAAGAAAACAGTCAAAAAAGGCTGAGAATACCCAAGATCAGAATGCCTCTTCCTCAGCAGGGGATCCCAGTTCCTCATCAGCAACAAAACAAGGCTTGATGGAGAACGAGTGTGTTCCAATTACAGAAGCAGGCTTCAAAACGTGGATAATAAGAAACTTCTGTGAATTAGAAGAACTTGTTCTAACCCAATCCAAAGAAACTAAGAACTTTGAAAAAAGGTTTGACGAAATGTTAACAAGAACACACAATTTAGAGAGGAATATAAGTGAATTGATGGAGCTGAAAAACACAATACGAGAACTACGTTAAGTATGCACAAGTTTTAACAGCCGAATTGATCAAGCAGAAGAAAGGATATCAGAGGTCAAAGACCAACTTAATGAAATAAAACTAGAAGACAAGATTAGAGAAAAAAGGATACAAAGGAATGAGCAAAGTCTCCAAGAAATATGGGACTATGTAAAAAGACCTAATCTACGCTTGATAGGTGTACCTGAATGTGACGAAGAGAATGAATCCAAGCTGGAAAATATGCTTCAGGATATTATTCAGGAAAATTTTCCCAACTTAGTAAGGCAGGATAATATTCAACTCCAGGTAATACAGAGAACACCACAAAGATATTCCTCAAGAAGAGCAACTCCAAGGCACATAATCGTCAGATTCACCAGGGTTGAAATGAAGGAGAAAATACTAAGGGCAGCCAGAGAGAAAGGTCAGGTTACCCACAAAGGGAAGACTATCAGACTTACAGCAGATCTCTCAGCAGAAACCCTACAAGCCAGAAGAGAGTGGGGACCAGTATTCAACATCCTTAAAGAAAAGAACTTTCAACCAAGAATTTAACATCCAGCCAAACTAAGCTTCATAAGTGAAGGAAAAATAAAGTTTTTTGTGAACAAGCAAGCACTCAGAGAATTCATCACCACCAGGCCTGCTTTACGAGAGCTTCTGAAAGAACCACTACACATAGAAAGGAACAAATAGTATCGGCCTTTCTAAAAAATATCAAAAAGTAAAGAACATCAATATAATGAAGAATTTACATCAACTAATGGGCAAATGGCAGTATTAAACTCACATATATCATTATTAATTCTAAATTTAAATTTACTAAATTCCCCAATTCAAAGACAGACAGCCAATTTGGACAAAAAACTAAAACTGTATGCTGCATCCAGACCCATCTCACATTCAAGGATACACAAAGACTCAAAGGATGGAGAGAGACTTACCAACTAACCAGAGAGCAAAAATAAATAAATAAAAAGCAGAAGTTACAATTTTTGCCTCTGATAAAATAGTATTTAAAGCAACAAAGATCAAAAGAAACAAAGAAGGACATTATATAATGATAAAAGAATCAATGCAACAACAAGAAGAGTTAAAGGTCCTAAATATATACGCACCCAATACAGGAATACCCAGACATACAAGACTTATAAAGAGACTTAGACTCCCACACAATAATAGTGGGAGACTTCAACATTAATATTAGACAGATCAATGAGACAGAAAATTAACAATGATATCCAGGACTTGAACTCAGATCTTGAACAAGTAAATGTAATTAACATTTATAGAACTCTCCACTTTACACAAAATATACACTCTTATCAGTACCACATCATATCAACTTAGAAGTTTAAACGAAATGTTGGTTGGCTCCTTGTTTGTTACTCTCTTCCCTCATTTTCTTTCATGTCTCCATTATTAAGGACAATTATAGGCATACCCATATTTAGACTGCATTCTAGCCTGGGCAACAAAGCAATACCCCATTCTCTCTCCCTCTTCCTCTTTCTCTTTCTTCCTCTTCTTTATTCTTTTCCTTATTATTCTTTTTCTCTTTCTAAAAAAAAAATAAATAAAATAAAATAAAATAAAATAGTACCACCACGATGGAAAATCATCTGGCAGTGTATGAAGAGTTAACCATACACCTACCATATGATCTAGCCATTTCACTTGTGACAATTGACAGTATTGAATTTTACCTTTGCCCTTTGCTCCTAGAAACAATGAAGGTTAAGGAATCCCTCTACTCTTTGGTTCCAGGAAAGACCCTACTGGAAAGAACCAGTGACTTTCCATATAACTTGGATAAGACTCCCAGATGCTCCCTTGTTTATTCATTACCAGGCCAGACGCAGACCCTCTAAATTCCCATTCTTGGCTTCATAAATGATTAGCTGGACTGCTTGTCCCCATGCATCACTAAGAACACACTGCTTGTAACCAAACTTTGGTTCAGATTCTCTACTTCTGCAGGCCCCTGAGCTTTGGCCCACCCACAGCTTGTGGCATTGCCCACAGCCCTCCTGAGAGTCCCTCCTGAGAACAGGGCTGTCCTCAGGGTAAGACCTGCTGGATTGTGACACTCCTGCTTAGCCCACTTTTCCATAACAGTTCTTTCTAGCCAAGTTTACTCCTCCCTGTACAAGATTAGCCACTTGCCTAAGTCCTGAGACACTTGCTGATCATATGGTGAGCCCGAGTGGGCACACTGAAACGTTTCCCTATTGGAATAGCCCCCTCCACACTGCCACAACAATCCTTTAGAATTAATTCCTTACAGAATCCAGATTTTTTTTTTATAGTAGCTGCCTGAGAAATGAAAAAATATGCAACGACTTACACATAAATGTTCACAGAAGCCTTTTTATAAAATTTCTAAACTGGTAACAACTCCATTTTTCATTAACAGAAGAACGTGTGAACACTGTGTATATCCACATTAGGGAATACTACTCAGCAATAAAAAGAGGACAAATTGTTGATGCAATATGGATATATAGCAAGATAGTTATTTGAAGTACAAAGGGTAGATTAATAATGAGTATATATGGGATTATTTCATTTGTATAGGGTATCCTTGGGGGACACCTTCAAAGACCTCTAGCGGACTGCAGACAGTACCTAACCCTTCATATACCTTGTTTTTTCCTATACATACCAGTGATCAAATTTAATTTAATTAAGATGAAGCTAATCTGGTGCCACA